AGTGAGCCGTCGGCTTCGGGCCTACGCCAGGCGCTACTCCTGGGCTGGGATGGGGAGGGTGAGGCGGGCAGCTCAAGGTGGCCCGGGTCCCGGGGGAGGACCCGTGGCTCTGGGCATCCAGCGCCCAGGCCTGCTGTTCCTACCAGACCTCCCTTCAGCCCCCTTCGTGCCCCGGGATGCCCAGCGGCATGACGTGGAGGTCCTGGAGAGCAGCTTCCCCGCCATCTTGCGGGACTTTGGGGCTGTGAGCTGGGACTTCTCAGGGACTAACCCCCTGCCTCGGGGCTGGTCCCCACCCCTGGCCCCTGGCTGCTATCAGCTCCTGCTGTACCAGGCAGGCCGGTGCCAACCCAACAACTGCCGCCGGTGCCCAGGAGCCTACCGGGCACTGAGGGGGCTGCGGAGCTTCATGAGTGCCAACACCTTCGGCAACGCAGGCTTCTCTGTGCTCTTGCCTGGGGCCCGGCTGGAGAGCCGCTGTGGGCCCACCAATGCCCGCGTCAGGTGCCATCTGGGTGAGTAGACCCTGCCTACAGTCAACCTCCTCGCTTCCAGTTCCCCTCCAGACCCTCCTCTTGCCACCAGACTCTTACATTATTGTTCTCATCAAACCTGTCCTCTCGCAAATCTGTGACTTCCTGTGGTCCACAGCAACACTTCCTGAGCTTCACTATTGGCAAACCATCACCCTAAGTTGTGCTGTTGTCATTTTCCTTCCATGCTACATTATGTCATACTCTCTTTGGGTTTGCTTATTGAAAATGAATCTTTATAGAACTGTAAGTGATATCATTGCTGCTAGCTCTAATTAAAGTACTCACGAAGCCAGGTGTGGTGGCACATTCCTGTATTCCCAGCACTTGGGAGTCTGAGGCTGTGAGTTCAAGGCCAGCCTGGGCTACATGGTGAGTTCCAGGTCAAGCTCAACTACATAGTGAGATCCTGTCTCAAAAAACAACAAGAAAAAGAAAATACTCATAAAAGGGCTGCGGATTTAGCTCAGTGGCACCGCACCTGCCTCACAAGCACAAGGTCCTAAGTTTGATTCCCCGGTACCAAAAAAAAAGTCCTCATAAAATTAAACTACACGCCTCCACATGTGTAATCCCAATACTCTGGGAGGCTGAATCAGGAGGATTACAAATTTGAGCCTAGCCAATTTAATGTTCAGCAACACCCTGTCTCACAAATGAAGAATAAAAAAAGGTCTGGAGATGTCATTTCAGTGCGAAGGCCCTGGGTTCAGTCTCCAGTATCATCAAAAAAAAAAGGAAGACCTGAATGTTTTAGCCAACTCTGTTCAATCACTCCAGGCCTGAAACCTATGCTTTCCTCATCGGAAAGGTGGTGATGTTAGTGGGGTGTTGATGTTCCAGTGACACCAAACTGTTTCCTTTGTGATGTTTTAAAGATTGAAGAAAATGGAAATTGATTTTCTGATTGTTATTGTTGTGACCTTGTCTCACCCAAAATCATCTCCTGTGCTGCCAGTCTCATGTGTCTTACACTGCAGGACACGTTGGCCTAAGGATCAAGGCTGGGTCTTCTGCCTCTTCCTTCCCGCTGTACTTTCCTGAAGGCCCCCTGGCTAATCCCAGCAGCTGCTACTTGACCTTTCAACCTAGAATGACTTCTCCCTGTCACTCGCTATGAGGCTGCTCAGCCCTCAGGAGGATTTTCAAATGCCAACCCTCCTCCTGGGATGCCTTTCTGCTCAGCACTCTTATCACACTCCACCATCTTGTCCTCAGTCTGACTGTGGAGAGCCAGCACCTCTTGATTTGCCTTGTGAGGAAGCCCAAGGGGAAATGCTATTTGCTCCAGGAAGCCTCCTCCTTTCCCAGAATGATGGACTGTGCTTCCCACAGCAGCACCGCCCAATCTCTTAGACCTCAGTTCATCCAGTGCTCTACCGACTGACCTGTCCCCTCCCAGAGAGGAAGGGACCACCTGAGAGCCCGATCCTTGAGACCCTTAGATCTGCTGGCTGAACAGCAGGTGGGCTGCTGAATGCCTGGTCTCTTCCACAGGCCTGAAGATCCCTCCGGGCTGTGAGCTGGTGGTTGGGGGAGAGCCCCAGTGCTGGGCCGAGGGGCACTGCCTCCTGGTGGACGACTCCTTCCTGCACACAGTGGCCCACAATGGTAATGGGATCCATCTGGCTGGGGGTGGGGTGCAGGACCAAAATGCGGGGTTAGAGGGTCACAGAATCTGGTCCAGATGACCTCCTGTCCCAGCACATTTTCCAGCTGCATGGCCCTGAGCAAGTCACATAAACCCTCCCATCACCCACGGGGCAACCACACAGTCTTTATGAAGTGACTACAAGGTAACATAAGTGTGCATCGGTGTGTGCAAAGTGTGTACCAGCACAGGACACAGGGCCAGGTCCCAGGGTATTGCCCTACCTCTTGCTTTCAGGCTTGGGCAAGTTACTTAAACCCTGTTATGCCTTGTACACCTTGTATAAAATAGGGACAATTATGGCATTGCCAGCTTGTTTTGATGACTAAGAACTCTTACATATAAAGGTTAGAACATGGCCTGGCACTTATTTACCAACTTTTTGCTTTCCTGTGTCTGGCGAATGCTTTGGCAGAGTACTTAAATGCCAGCTGTTCTGTTTCCATCCCCATGTGCCCTAGGCTCCCCTGAAGATGGGCCTCGAGTGGTCTTCATTGTGGACCTGTGGCATCCCAACGTGGCCGGGGCCGAGCGCCAGGCCCTTGACTTTGTCTTCGCACCAGACCCGTGAAGGAAGGCGTTCCCTTCAGACACTGGGTCAGACATGCTGCACAGGGACCGCCTGGGCAGCATCCAGGACCCCCCTCCCCACTGCGGAGAGGGGCTGAGGTGGGAACGTGCCAGGCAGCACTGAAATACAAACTCTGAATTGTCTCCTAACTCCAGACTGCTTTCTTCCCTGCTACCGGCCTGACAAGGGCATGGGATGAGGGCTCCTATCTTCTACCATGAAACTAGTCAGGTGTCTCCTTTACACAAGTTATTTTCCTGTTCCCTCCCTGGGAGACAGTAGCAGATCCTCAACTTAACTTTATTCCAATAATTTAATAGAAAATTAAAACAATAAATAACATGAAACAGATTGAGAACATAGCTGAGCTGGTACAGGCCCAGGCCAGCCCAGGACAGTTAAAGAAGCAGGAGGAGCGTGCAGGGAGAAGGGAGGCAGCGGCCACAGGCGGAGCGGTCACCAAAGGCTGGCTCAACAGTTTCACATGTACAATGAACTGAAAAAGGGAAAGGGGATTCTAAATCATTCTAACCCGCTGGTGAGGGGGGAAAGAATGTTGCCTTGTGAGGGGCTCTGCCTGCAGGGGGCTGGACCGGACTGTGTTAGCAGTGAGTAGAAGCGAGTAGAAAGGGCCAAGGGGAACTGTGCCGTGCCATGAGGGGACAGAGGAAGACCCACGACTTGGCCAGCAGAGCCGGGGAAAAGTCCGGGAAAGGGAGAGAGGACAGTAAGGGCTGGGACCCAGAAGCAGGAGGCAGGGGAAGGGTCAAGGTCAGTCCTTGAAGACAATCTGTTGGCCATGCGGACGCTCGTCATGGGTGATGTGGCGCCGGACGTGGATCCTGCGGACCCGGTGCTCTCTGCTCTCCTCATCCTCCCCTCGGGTGGTCCCACCACCTCCAGCAGCACCTCCTGTGGCCTCCAGAAGGGCTGGGTCTGGGCCGCGGGGAGTCTCGTAGATCAGGATATTCAGGGTCTCCTCAAAGATCCGGGCCTCTGGGAATTCCACCTGCAAAAGGCCAGCAATGCCCAGCTCCCACCCTCCAGCCCAGGGCCACAGCCCCTTCTCCTGCACTGCGTACCTCCTGGCCTTGGTGGTCGGGTTCTCAGGCCTCAACTGTTCTCTCTGCAACTTCTTTACCTGGCACAGTCCTGCTGCAAGGCCCAGCTCTGAACTCAGACAGGCAGAAAGGCTGCAGTGTGTCCTTCACTGCCAAGTCTCTCGGGCTGCTCTTTCACTTGACCAGCACTTACGGGGAGACTGCACTGTGCCAGGCAGTTCTAGGAATGGGAAGAAACCAGTGAACAGAGCAGACAGAAGTGCTTGCCCTCAGCAAGTTTACATTCTAAGGGAGGACTGAGACACAGGCTTACAGTCAGAGGATGACATGCTATGCAAACAGATCGGAGACTTTTCAACAAGGAGTTAGTTCAGAGAAGGCCTCACTGGGAAGGCGGTGTCCGACCAAAGCAGGAGACAGCTAGAGAAAGCAATCCGTAAACAACAAAAGGTAACAGCTCTGAGTCAGGAAGGTACCCAGTGTATGGATCAGAGCCACAAGGAGGCCGAGGCCATTGAGGCAGAGGGATGGAGAAAGAGAACAGAGAGGAATGAAGCAGAAGAACTGAGGGGCATCACACCGAGTGGTCTGGGAAGGGCAGAGGGCACAGCTCTTATGCTGTTCTAATTACTGCTTTGTCTTATCTCCCAGCTGCAGAAGAAACCTCCAGGAAGCTGAGTCATGTGTTCATTCGTGTGCACATTCTAAGCATGTTTCGTACATTAGACAAGGGCCAGGCTAGTGTGAAGGAGACAGGAAAGAAAAGGTAGAGAGGGGCTTCTGCTGAAGCAACCCCTGCCCCCAACCCACAGACGATGGCAGACTGTCTCTAGCTAAGAAGGGAGCATCCCTAACTGTCTGGAGTGTTTGGGTTGAAGTCATGAGGAAAGCTGTCCCAAGGAAAAGACGATGTTGAGCTTGAGTCGTAAATATTAAGTACAGAGCTGGGTGTGGTGGCACATACCTGTGAGGCTCAGGCAGGATCACCATAAGCTTGAGGCCACCCTGGGCTACATGGTGAGTTCAAGGCCAATCTGAACTACACAGCAAGACCCTGTCTCAAAAAAACTAAACCAAACCAAAACCAAACTAAAACAAAATATACAAGCTCATTAGGCAGATAGGTAGGGGGAAAAACAAAAAGAATTCCAAGAGGAGGATAGAGTGTGCATTGGTGGAAGGTGTGAAGAATTCTGAGCACTGTGAGATTCAGGGGCCGAGTGGGCTCACACTCCGCTCAGCACCTGGCTGCCAGGTTACGCTTGGCACAGGGCAGGCACTCAGTCTTGCTCACGACTTGTGACCTGCGAGTCCAGGGTGCACCCTAAATGGCGCTGTGGCTTGGGAATCTATTTCAGTAGTGGATCCTGCCGAGACCCTATGCAGAAACACAAACCTGCTCAGGCTGAGGGGGCAGTTCGGTGGTGGATTGTATACTTGGGCTCAATTCCCAGCATGCAAAATTTAAAACAGTAAAAAAGAAAAAACACCACTCTATGCAAGGCCCTAGTTCTGATCCCAGCCCCTCACTCTGCATGGAAAAATGGGGGCCACCAGCCCAGGTGACAGACCCAGCCCCAGAACCTGGGCCCGCCTGCCACTGCAAGACTCTCCCTACCTGCCCACTGCTGCTGTCCAGGGTCCCCGTCCTGCCCACCCCACAGCCCCGGCAGCCAGGCCAGAGCCCTCTGACCTTGGTTTGCTTTTTCTCCGTGGCGTAGACAATGGAGGTGCAGCACACCTCGGCGATCTTGCGGCCCTGCCCATAGAAGGACCAGCAGCAGATCTCGTCCCCCAGCACATCCTTGAGGAAGAGCAGCCGCCCGTGGAAGCGCAGGGCCAGTTTGTCAAACAGCTCAATGTTCTTAAGTAGGTTGTCGTCTGAGGTGCTGAGGACCAGAGGCCAGGCAACTTCAGCGTGACTGACTGTGCCTCCAACCCCCAGGATGGGCCCCAGGTCCCCTCTGCCCTGCTCCACAGGAGACATGTGGCTCAGCAGCCTGAGGCAAGGAGCATCTACAGGTCCCAGCCTCTGGAGGGCAGCTGGCCACCTGCACTCCAGCTCTGCCACTCACTGGGTGACAACGGGCGCCACCTGACCTCTGGGTACCTCCATCTCATCTGCAGACAGAGATGACAGCACCTACCTCAAACATCAGGAGGGCTGTGTAATCAACAGAGCTTGGGTTTGACAATAACTACAGTATACTACAGTTCACAAGCTTAATGTCTACGATTTTGGAAAAGATGGCCACATTTGTGTATGCGTGGGAAAGATGGCTGCAGTCGTATGTATCACCTGATGCGGAGTTTGCAAACAAAATTTTGACAAATGCTTGTTTGTGAATCAAAGTGTTTTCAAACCAAAGTATTCGTGAATGGAGGCACCACTTTGCTTGCTCTAAGTGTTACTTAGTTCTTGCCCAAACTCCCACTTCCTGATGCTAAAACAAGTTCAGAAGGGGGCCGGCCTGCCCAAGTTGCCCAGGGGTAAATGGCAGAGTCGGCAGGTGCATCAGGCATCTCTCCATGTGGCAAAGCCAGGAGCAGGGCAGACCCCACCCCACAGGCCAGATGAGCCTGCGCAGGGCCCGCAGCGTCACCTGGTGTAGGAGTACTTGTTGTTACTGCGGTTGTGCAGGAGCTTCACCACGGGCTGTGGGGAGAGGGGGGTTTAGGCTGCAGGAAGAAACTCTCAGCCTCCAATGCAAAGCGTTCAGGGGCCTCACCTTGGAGGTGCTGGCCAGGAGCTGTTGCTCCTCGCGGGGCGATGTCACCGTGGGGATGAGGCACAGCGGGGACAGGTGCTCCCTTTTTTGCTGGGGAAGAAGCAAAAGGTGGTTAACAGCACAACCACAGGTCTCTCCCTCCTGAAGGCCTTGAGGAGCTGCCTGTGGCCCTGAGGACACAAAGCCAGGCTCCTTGGTGGTCTGCATGTTCTGTAGGACCCAACCCCTCTGGCCCCAGCTCCACCACTCTCCTTGTTGGCTGCCCGCCTGCTCTCCAGCCTTCCTTGTTCCTGCGCACATTGGGCTGGGTCCACCTGGGCCTGGGCTGCTCTTCACTCAGCTGCTTCCACTGCTGGTTCCTGTGCCCACCAGGCCTCAGGTCAAGCGCGTCCTCAAAGCATTGCCCTGCCTGCAGCAGCCCCTCAACCTCTTCCATTTCATGTTACCGGTCCATTTCCTTCACAGCGCTTAGTTCCTGACATTTTCTAACTTTCTTAATTTGCTTATGGCCTGTCTCTCCCTGGAGAGTACAATCCTATTACATAAATGCTCAGTATTTATTTATTGAATCAATAAACCTGGTTGGGCAGGATGAGGCGAGGTGGGAGAAAGAATCAGAACCAAACAATGTGGTTTTTTGTTGTTGCTGGTTTTTTGAGACAGGGTCTCACTATGTAGTTGAGGCTGACCTGGAACCCACTAGGTAGCCCAGGCTGGTCTCAAACTCACAGCGATCCTCCTGCCTCAGCCTCCCGAGTGCTGGGATTACAGGCGTTCACCACCCTGCCCAGCTACATGGGTTCTCTTCTCTGCCTTCTAGAATCTTCATGCCCAAACCCCCTTTTACCTTGCCCAATCTTGAAAATTAAATGCACAATTCTTTTTTTTTTTTTTGCAGTACCAGAGATTGAACTCAGGACCTTGTGCTTGCGAGGCAGGTGGTGATGCCACTGAGCTAAATCCCTGGCCCTACTCTACTAGTTTTAAGATATACTATAAAGCTAAAAAAATGAATACACTTTAGTTCTAGTGTAGAAACAAGACAAAAATGTAATAGAACACAACAGAGTACTCAGAAACAGTCCAGGGTATGAATGTGAGGATTCACAGAAAGACACCATGAATAAGTGAGGGAGAAGTATGGAGTGTGTAATAGTTATCCACTGCTATGTAACAAACTGCCCCAAACTTAGCAGGTGAAATTAATGACAAAATTTTTTGCTTCAGTTTTCAAGTTCTACAGTGGCTCAGCCAGGAGGTTCTGGTGTTTTCTTGTACAGCTGTGGTCAGCCGGCCTCTGCATGTCTGAAGGCTCCCCCACCGTGTACCATCTTCCTGTCCCGGGGAAGACGTTTGTGGCTCTGGCCCTGTGGGCCGCTTCCAGTCTATAGAAGTTTAGGGACCCAAAGCCTCTTTCCCCTTCACTCTGGCTGTTCCTCTCAGTCCATGATGATCATGTTTCTACCACTGTAATTCTCTGAGTATCTTGTGATTTGGGGGTGTAGTGCATAAGAGGGAGTCCATACTCACAAGCCCCTCCGCAAGGTAAGCCCTTGTCTATGTTGGGCTGTGCTCAGAGTGCTGAAGGCACCATTCCCCTTACATTTCTCAGAAGTGCTATTATTTGATCAAATAGTTCTGAAGTATCTCCTTGGATACTTACAAAGTCTTCACAAAGACTTTTTGTTTGTTGTTTATTCTTTTTTGGTTTTGGGTTTTTGTTTGTTTGTTTGTTTTTTGAGACGGTCTCACTATGTAGTTGAGACTGACCTGGAACTCACTATGTAGTGTAGGCTGGTCTTGAACTCAGTGATTCTCCTGCCTCAACCTCCCGAGTGCTGGGATTACAGGCGTGCACCACCATGCCTGGCTTGTTTTTTTGATACAGGGCCTTGCTATGTAGTCCAGGCTGGTCTTTTTTTTTTGGCACCAGGGATCGAACTTGGGACCTTGCGCTTGCGAGGCAGGCAGCAGAACTGGTTTGTAGACAGGGTCTCATAACTATATAGTTCAGGCTGCTGGTCTTGAACTCTCGCAGCAATCCTCCTGCCTCAGTGCTGAGATCACAAAGGACTTTATAATCACATTCTCAGATTCATCTTCAGACCATGTTTTCCTGAGAATGCTCTGTTATTTGATCTCTGCCCAGAAATCATTTGTTAATTTTAACATGTGTTAAAATTTTAACATACATGTTATCTGGAAAGGCTGGAAAATTTCAAATCCAACAGTTTCTGATGCTTTCTTCAATTGGTTTTCTCTTCAGGCACCTTCAACACTGTCTGGGGATCTCCTCAGCTAGATCACTCAAGTTCACTAGGGACTTCCTCATTACACATTAGAGCAATAGACTATGTGGTTAATTTTCCATATAACCAAGATATGCTTTCCATCAGTTTCCAATAACATTTTCCTAAGCATTCTTTAAACTCATTCTGCTGCTTCTCCAAAGGAGGCTTAACAATCTCCTAAATGCCCTCCCAGCTCCCACCCACCTTGCAATTCTAAAGCTACTTCCATATTTTAGGCTTTTTTTCATGGCTGACCCTATACTCCAAAAACCAAAATCTGTTATCTTTTCCCAGGGAACAGATTACTACAATTTTAGTAACTTAAAACTATAATAGGGGCTGGGGATTTAGATCAGTGGTTCTGCCACCTGCCTTACAAGCCCAAGGGCCTGAGTTCAATCCTTGATACCAAAAAATCTATAATAAACATTTATTACCACACATATTCTGTGGGCCAGGAATTTAAGACCAGCCTAGCTGGGTGAGCCTGCCCTGGGGTCCAGAGCTGCATTATCTGAAGTCCTGACTGCGCCTGCAGGAGCTGCTCCTCTTTCTGAGGGGATTATGAGCGTGAAGCACACAGCCAGTGCAGGATCTGCTTCTGAGGCAGTTTCCCCACCCCGTAGCTGGGCATCGGTGCTGGCATTGGTTCCTCACCAAAAAGGCTCTTCTGAGAGCTGCTGTGTGTCTGTTCTCACATAAGCACTGGCTTCCTCACTGAATGACCCAAAAGAGGCAGAAGTTGGAATGCCTTTTAAGACTTCAAGAGCCATGCATTATTGTTTTGGCACCATCCTACTGGTAATATGGGAGGAAACTACCCAAAAGCCAGGATACCAGGAGGCAAGAATCACTAGTGGCCCTCTTGGATGCTAATGTTCAAAGATTGCTTCATAAATGGTACTGGGAAGACTCACTCACTCCAGGGAGGACAAAAGTTAAATACCTTCATAATCACACTCACAAAAGTTGCAGAGATGAGAATGCCCATAGATGAAAAATCCATCTATAAAACAATAAAGCTAATAAAAAATACAGACTAGACATGGTGGTATACACTTGTAATCCCAGCACTCAGGAGGCTGAAGTAGGAGGACTGCAAGTTCAAGGCCAGCCTGGACTCTACACAGTGAGAGCCTTTCTCCAAAAATAAAAATTTTTAAAAAGACTAAAAGGATACAATACTGCTTTAAAAACAAAAAAAGGTAAGTAATTTGATTATGTTAATATCAAGAATTTTTCAGTTGAAGCCAGGCATGGTGGCACTTTAATCTCAGCTACTCAGAAGGCTGGGGCCGAGGGATCATAAGTTCAAGGCTAGTCTGGGCAACGTAGAGATCCTGTCTCAAAAAGAAACAAAAACTAAAATTAAAACAAAGCCAAGCATGGTAGTGCATGCCTGTAATCCAAGTACTCAGGAGGCTGGACTGCATAGTGAGATCCCACCTCAAAAATAAGTAAATTTTTTAAAAAGTTAATAAATAAATAATTCTCACTTGACAGTAGAAAGCATGACTTTATACAATGAGGAAGTAACAGAATTATAGTTATCCTACAATTCTAGTGAATTAGTGATTTAGGCAAAGTCTATCAACTGTATGCTGAACACAGATAACTGCCAATTGCACAGTGTCCAAATAGTACCATACAGACACCTTTATAGTTGGCCAAGAGGAGACATAACTACAACACAGGGCTCAAGCCCTCATCACCCGAGTCCAGGGCCCAACTGTGAGCATCACTAGCAAGGGTCACACTAGCAACATTATGGATCTTCAGGGTAACACAATAAGAAATATAGAACATCACCTAGAATGTATTCTAGCCAAAATAATATCAACCCTTTAAACTTATGATCTAACGTACGGAAAATGTGGGATAAGCAGGGTAACAAACCACATGATACCAGGAGTAAACCAGGCAAATTTGGTAAGCAGGTTACTGTGCAGCAAAGCTGGCAGTTTCTTTAATAAATCAGCATCATGGAAAAAGAAGGTCAGTTTTGGAGTAGAAGAAACTCAGAGCATAGAATAACCAGATGCAATGCAGATCAACACTGGATCCGGGTTTAGATGAGCCAGCTATAAAAACAGTTCTCGAACAACTGAAGAAACTATAGAGTTTGCCCTGGGTGTTAGATAAAAACTTTATTAAATGGCAAGATGGCAATTATTAACCATGACTAGAAAAAGCAGCTTACAAAACAGTACATACAGCATGATTGCTATAGCAGACACACACACACGCACAGATACACACAAAGGTCTGAAACAACATTTGGTGCTTGTATTTATTTATTTTTTATCCGCTTCCTAAACTTCTACAATTGATAAATACTGCTTTAAAATAGTAAGTAACTAATTGTAATTTTGTTTTGAAACCAAAGATTTCTATTTAATACCAGATGTCACAAACAGGTAACATTCTAAAAGAAAATACTGGCAATATCTAAAACTGACTACAAATTATTATCTGGAATAGACTTTCTGAACTAGGATTGCTTACCTGAATCTTAAAACTCAGCAAATAATTTGAGTACTTTCTGAACTCTCTGAACCACAGCAGGTAAAAGGTATCATTCTGGATGCTTAGGAGAAAGGCTAATGTTATTTACAACACATGCCCTAGGGCAGTATGGTGAGCCGCAGCACGCGTGCCAAGGCAGGCTGTTCGTATCCTTTAAAGCTCTGAAAGGTTCGCCATCACTGCCTTAGGTTCTTTGGCCTCCACAACAGAAGCAACATGACGAAGGGAGGAGCTTCATCTGGAAAGAGTCACAGTAAGACGCACAGGTTGTGCTGCTGCTGGGGCCCGGAGGCTGCCCACCCTAGAAGTCAGCCTGTGGAGAATGCATCCACCCTGACAAGAACGAGAAAGCAAAATGGGGATGCCAAGGCTAAAAGGTGACATACCACCCAGACTGGGTAAATGAGGCACCCAACAAGTGTGCATCGCAGGTTTGGGCACAGACGAACGCCCAAACCCGCGAGAGCATTGCCACAGTCCGCAGTTCATCTTGAGAATTTTGACCAGTAGTCATAAGAAATGTTTTGGTCTTAAAAGACAGAAACAAAAACTAAAACAAAACAAAAACCTATGTGCCTTACAGCATGTAAAATACATGCTCTTATGTAATAGGGCTTAATTTTCCTTTAAAAAATTAGACTAAAATATGCAAGATCTCCTGCCAAGCAGCAGGAAGGAAATCCAGCAGAAATTTTAGTAAAAAATATGAATAAGCAATTTAAGGAGAGGACATCAAAAAAGCTAGTGAGTAGGTATATAAAGATACTAAAAAACATAAAAAGCTCACCCTCATTAGTAATCAGAGGCATGCAAAGTAAAATGAGATCACACTCTACTCATCAGAATGGCAAAATTAGAAAGATGAAGGGTGCCACGTGTTACTGATAATGTGCAGAACTGGGATCCCTTCTGCTCTGCTCCCTATGAGTGCTGGTACCACCACCATTTGGAAGTCACATTCGGTTTGCATGTGTCTACGGCTCAGCCCCACTTCCCAGCTAGCGCCATGAGAAACTGGCACAGGACCACAAGGCAGCATGTACGTGTGCGGGGATAGGAAGTGGGGGTAAGCAGGTCTCCAACCGCGGGGGACTAAAATACAGTGCGCAAACCCACAGACCTACACAGCTCTTAGAAGCAGGGAATGAGATGCACAGCACCAGCATGAACAGATCTTGAAAAAAGGGCAGGTTGAAAAACTATGAGACATGATCCACAGCTCAAAGCCATTTATGGAAATTTAAAATGCATAGATACAAAAAAAATGCACATACATAAAAGAACGCTTTAGCTTCTCAAGAGTATAAAGTTCATCCAAGTACAAACAGTAGCACTGAATGGGTACCCCCTGGGGAAAGGGGAAGTGAGCAAGGAACTGGGAAGGAAGGGGAAAAGGAAAAAGAGCAAAGATCTGCACGGCCCAGTGACAGAGCGGGCACATGCTGAGCTGCAGGCGTGGTCTGGGCAGCGGCTCTGGAACCTGGGCAGGAGGCGGGTGCAGCACGAAGGTGCTGTCCACTGAGTGCGGTAACCTGGGGCCACGTCCATGCTTGGCCACTTCCTGGCTCCTTGACCATGAGGGCATCACCCCACCTCCCTCGCATCTCTTTTCACGTAAACCAAGGGTACAAAATGTACCCACGAACAGATGGCAACACCACCCGACACACAGCGGGTCATAACATCAGCTCAATTTAAAATTCTATAGCAGGAACGTACTCCTGAGATCTAGCTCAATGATTTTCAACTATAAGCAGTAACTTGTTAATGGGTTATGAAGTAAATTTAATGAGTCTCAAACTGTATTAGAGAGGAAGAAAGGAAGGGAGGCAGGGAGGGAGGGAACAGTTTATCAAAGAATATTTCACAAAAAGTATCCTTTCGTAAAACTCAGGGATACACATAATTTGAGTATAAAAATGTATTTCCCACCAGGAGCTGCAGTCAAAAAGTATGAAAAACATGGATACTGTCCAAAGGAATGCTGCTAAACCTTTGCATTTCGAAAAAATACGTAAGTATTCCCTGAGGTGAGAGAAAGCTGTTCAAAGCCACCACTTTTTAGTCTATAAAGGGAATTAAAAAAGAAATTCTTGAATGTATAACAGATATTGGGAAAGGGGGAAAAAATGTTCAAACAAGAAAGGGAACAAAGTTGGGGAGGAAAGAAGGACAAGAAAAAAAAAAAGAATAGAAGAAGCCGGGCGTGGTGGCGCACGCCTGTAATCCCAACACTTGGGAGGCTGAGGCAGGAGTATCGCTGTGAGTTTGAGACCAGCCTGGGCTACACAGTGAGTTCTAGAGCAGTCTGAACTACATAGTGAGACCCTGTCTCAAAAAACAAAAACAAAAGAATAGAAGAAAAACTTTAAAAAAAAGCTTTTGTAACTAAGGAGTGGGAAAGGGGGAATGGGAAAAAAAGAAGCAGCAAGATACATCTTGGCCAGGTACAAATCCCCTACAATGAATGTGACCATTATGTGTGTCTGTCTACAATGTACCAACAAATGTTTTGCCAAAAAAAAAAAAAAAAACCCAAAAACTCTTATCTCTTATTACTACTGCATCATAAAAGACTTTTTAATGTTATAAAAATTAAACAGAACAAAAGGCTTTATGTAAAAGCCGTTACAGTGTACTTATTTTTCTTGGTTCTTTATCTTGAGGAACCTAAGGAGAGAATGGCAGAGGCGGGAACTGACTCAGGCGACTCCAAAGCCCAGGGTCCTGACTGAGCTTTGAGAACCCTGAGGGTTCCACAAAGTGGAGCTCCGCAGGTACAGGTGGGGTCTGGAACCCTTCGATCCTATTTAGAGACAGTGGTTCTGCTTCTATGATATTTTATCTGAAGAAAGGCTTTCAATACTTTGAAAGATAAGGAAAGAAAGCAAGCCTGCCCAGCCTTGGGTTGAGGATACGGGAAAATGCTGCCTCCCAGGATCCCACCAGATCATGCAGGTTGCTATATTCCAACTTAAATTTAGATTTTTTTTCTCAAGGGACACGGGGAGCTCTTCAGGACTTGGGAGCAAGGGAGAAAATACACTGGGGCTGTGTTTAACGTGTTCACAACAGGGCCGTCATTCCTATGTCTCACTGCTGGGCAGCACGAACTACCAGTGACACGCGCATGACATACATGCTTCAGCAGCTTTTATTAACTTTATTAGTAAAAAGACCGAGAAATGTGACTAGATCTGTTTGTACCACGAGAGGTAGAGGCCACCCGATGGGAGTCACGCACGTACCACTAGTGGCTCAGCCAGCAGGAACGTGGTAAGGGTGACTACTCAGGTGGGAGTGAAACAGCTGGACTGACCAGGAAGCAACAAGCAGCAGCCAAGAACAGGCATTTAAACACAAGCAGTTCTGGCATAAGAGGTGGTGAAGGGGCCCTGCCTGAGTCAGAGGGACACTGAGGACAGAACTCCCAAATTCTCTGGGGTGATGCCAGTCAGAGCCAGGCTCTCAGGCCGGATATCTGCTTTTTTGTCCTAATAAGCTAATCCTTGGGCAGCTCTCAGGCAAGTGGGAGGTGCGGGGCCCTCACCTGCAGCGCCAGCTGGCAGTCCTCGATCAGGCCCTGCACCAGGTAGTAGCGAGCTTCACCCAGCAGCTCCCCAAGCTCTCTGGTACTCTCAGGTAGTGGAACGGATCCATCCCGCAGGTAGTTGAGGATCGTACCAAAGTGGCGGCCGCTCCGGTCAATCAACACCCAACCTGGTGGGGCAGAAAGAGCAATGAGGGAAGATGGTTTTGGTAGGGGGCCTGGAGTTACTTCAATTTTCCAGAAAAAAGATTCCAAAGGGAAAGAGCTCAAATACTGATGTGTCTCAAACCTCTGCTAAACCCAAATTTTTCAGATACTGCATCTCCAATGGGTTCTCCCAGAGCATTTACACACACACACACACACACCCCCTACCGGAGACGATTCCCTCCCAAATCTGTCCTACAGTTAGTTAGAACCTCTCACAGGTAAAGTCCTCACGGACCGACCTTCTGAATGCGTCTCCGACGCCACTGCTAATTCTCACCATCCTACTTCATGGCCCATGCCCACTGTCCAGCTCACTACCATTTTACACGTAGTATACGTACATTTTGCTGTTCACTTGCTTGTCCTATCTGCCTAAAATAGGCAAAGTCTATAAGACCAATCTTGTCAGCTTCCTTTATCAAAAACTCTCCTGCACCAACTGCTACTTTGCACATACTGATTAAATGAATTCTTCGCCTGTATTTGAAGGCTGAACTCTTCCAGCCTTCACAATACTCGATGAACCCCTCTTAATTCCCACCCACCTCCGCGCAGGGGGAGAGGAGGGGCCAGCAAACAAACTTTTAAAGTCTCGCTAGATATGTGGGTCCAAGAAGATAGGCGCACCCTCCCCCGGAGTCCCTGGCAAACCCGGGGCAGCCTCCTCCTCCTCCAGGCTGCACCTAGAGACGATTCCTGGGGCGCACAGGAGCCTGAGTTAGGGGAACACAAAAGGCTTGGCAGAGGTTCGAAACCCAGGCAAATTGCCCGAAGGGGTGCTGCTGGCAGCAAGGCTGGTTCCCAGGTCTTGGGCTGAGGGTGGGAGACTGTAAGGACTGCGAGGTGACAGGCTGAATCGCTTACACGGAGCCTCGCAGAATCAGGTACCATAACTTGTTGGCGGTTGCTGGGGTAAAGGAGAGGCGCCGGGAAAGACGGAACGCAAAAGGAGGGAGAAGACGGCGGCGCCGGGCGCGCGTACCTCCGGCGTCGGTGAGCACCTCCACGCGGCCGCTGAACATGGCTTTGAGCATGGTGTCCTGGCCGGTGAGCGTGCGGAGCGTGGTGTAGTGCAGCGAGCCGCCCACGTTCAGCTTCACGTACTTGCTGTTCGGGGTCAGGGGCTTCAGACCGCACGCGGCGGCGCCGGGCTCCAAACCCGAGGGTTTCGCGGCTTCTA